TGTTTACACGTTAACAGCAACGAAGACAAAAAGTTACTTACTCTCACGACATTATAAATATTCAGTTCATGGAGAATGTAAAATAATTATAATAATAATAATAATAATACTGAAATAATATCTTATCTGCCACAATAATTTATATAAAAATTCAAACTATTGTTGGTTTTATATCAAAAATTTAAATTTTCAGGCGGAAAATGTTTTGTTAGGTTCATTTCAAAATTTTCAAAAATGTGGAGGTTCCCATTTTTCTTTTTTTTTTCTTCTCGTACAAATTTTCATTGGAGGGAAACAAAAAGTTCAAAAATTCTTTCGCATTCGAACTCATTCGCGAGACGTTCTTTTGTAGTCTGCGAAAGTTAGAAATACTCGGAAGGTCGTTCTCGCCCATATTGAGTGATTGTTGGAAAGTAGGGATGAATTTGTTGCGCTTGCTTGTCTGACTGATGCTGCATTTCAACGCATTTCAACGTTTGTGCCTTTCAAGTCAATTTGTTTTGAATGCAAGAAATTGCAGATCAATAAATTTTTTGTTTACGATGGGTTTTTGTTGAAGTTCCGAATGCTTGGCTGGCTGTTTTTTAAATCGTTTTCAATGCTTCGAGATTTATTCCGCAGTGCTGCACTTTCAAATAATGAAAAACTCAGATCAAAATTATTTTTATAGCCTTTTTAAAAAATGATTGATCATTCTCACCAGATGACAATATAAGCAAGACGGCAAGTGAAATTAAAAGTAACAACAATATGAACTCCAACATGAAGATGGTCCTCCGTTTCGAACGCGGCTGCCTCTTTGGCTTTCACAAATTTTCTCATTTAATTTTAAAAACTGATCAAAACTCTACTTGGGAAGTCATTTGTCGATTGTCCTGGACTGCAAAATAATTAAGTGAGAGTGGCATTGAAAGCGAAGAGAATAATCTTTCGGAAGGGATTGCCGGCCGCGCATGTTGCTACTCATAATTGAAGCAGCAACATAATCTATTGCGCCACTTGTAAAAAATTAAAAATCTACAAAATTAATAAAATTAATAATCCGGTTAAATTGATTCGGCCTGATGAGACACCACAGAAAATATTTTGTATAATTTAACAAATTTAAAGTCCATCGCTGTTGTGCAACACACAAAAATCTTCAGAGAAAAATGTGAAGACATGGTGAGGCGCGAAAATTAAAATTCTGATTCGCAATGATGTGGTTGTGGATGGAATGCGTGGTGTGTTTGTGTGTTTATGTGTGTGTGTGCCTATGTGTGTGTGTGTACCTGTGTGTGTATGTTTGTGTTTGTGTGTGTGTGTGTGTCTGTGTATGTTTGTGTATGTGTGTGTACCTGTGAAGACGTACTGTGAAGCGATTTTTTCTAAACTTTTCAAACACTGTCTGTCATATTTTGAAATTAGGAACTTTTAATTTCAGAACCAGTTTTGCTGAATTATGAAAAAAAATGGTTATTTACATTTTTGTTGAGGTGTGTGGACTGCATGCATTATAGTTGCATCGTTGTTGTATTGTTGTCATGATGAAGGTCCATAACTTGTAGCGTGCGACACACTTGTTCAATGTTCAATGCTAATTCAGACATCAAATTCATCCATCAACACCAATTCAAAAACAAATTCCTGAGAAAGATAATTCAACTTTACCCTTCAAGGCAATTATTCATCCAACTTCTTCCATTGGACGACAGCAAACATTTCTATATCGAACCTTTGTTATAAAAAATTTGTTTTCATTGAAGCTGTATAGTCGAGGTTGTTCTTTGCTGGCGATTATTGTTTCGCTACTGATTACTGAGACACGTGCGAACGCTGATGTCACTTATAATGTTATCTTGCCCTTGTGTTTGCAACAATCGGATAGTTTGAGGAGTTTTTTCGTTGTTGCTTTTATGTCTTGTATACAATATGCCTATTATGTATAATTATTTCTGTCCAATTTAAACACGCTTCTTATCTTACGAAAACCAATTCAACCTGACAAACAATTTGATTGATTTGCGAATATTCGGGTTTCGCTTCGGAATATCGATCAAATCGATCTGGATGGCATCCGATCCATCGATTGATCGGTCGATATTTTGGGCACATCACTTCAGTTGCTTTTAAAAGCGCATTATGCGGAAATAAGAAAATCATCGTATCTGTAAATGCACCGTCACAAACATTAATGATGTACAATTTTATTTCAATGCATTTGAAGGAACTTCCAAAAATTTTATTTTAGGAGGACCCGATGACGATGATGATGTTGATGATGATTATCATGATAATGATTAAGATAATCATAATCATCATGGTGATAGAGAAAGTTACGATTCTAATGATGAAGATACGATGAGGAAGAGAATGATGACGATGATCAAGTTAATGATGATGAAAAAATTTAATGATAATTTTCAAAATTACATAATTTTGAATATAATGATAAAATTGATATGACGCCATTGATTTGCACAAATGACTTTTGTCAATCAATTATTATTCAATCAACAACCCTCTTTAATTTTTAGAAGAAACCATTGAAACCAATGGCACTTACGTTTTTGTCATTTTCCAAAATTCTTTTCCATCATCACCGTCGTGAAACGTTTTCCTTGAATATAACATCACCACTTAAACACATTCTCTTATTTCACCCGATCTCTAACTTAATTTAAAAAAATATAATTAATGATAAGCCTAAAAAATATTATATTTATTTTTTATTTAATCGAATTTTTCTTCTTTATCATTTAAGCCGGTTGAACAGCAAGTCGAAGAAAGCGACGGCAACGTGCTTCTTAGTGAGCTTGAATTTCTGATAAAACTCTAAATAAGAATTTTTCGACCAAGCGCCAGAAAATGAGAAGGATGAGTATCTCTGGAGGCAGCACAGCACTGTTAACTATAATTCCCGACAACATCAAGCCACATTACGCCTTTGTAACCCAAGGGCACTAACCAACAAGCCACAAGAATACAAATCTGTTCACGCAAAGATGGTTGGTTCTTAACGATTCGTCTGTGTCGGTGACGGACTGGGAAACTGTTAAAAGAGTAGAGACCTGTCTGCGTTCATATGTCTAGGTCAACTTAGTAGACATACACCAAAACATCAACAATCTCTAACACAGCTGCCACATGTACCCTACTATCACGAAACTAATTGCTCCTACCACCATTTCGACAACTCCTTCGCTCACTGATGAAACGCAATCGTTCGGCGAGTTCGGCTTCGGCATGCCCGTGAAAAAGTTTCGAGAGGTACCAAATTTACCTTACGTTTTTACTGTGTGTGTGTAGTGTGTGCACTTTTAATAGGTTTTTAATAAACTTTAAGTCAATACGAAACCAGATAAAAAGAAAAATCTATGAACTAAAGGTAGTTAAAATGAGATTGCTATCTGATAAAATCATATCTAACCTTAAAGTTTTTTGGAAACATATTAAGCAATTGTCGAATAAGAAGGTTTCAATTGACTATTTGACTATAACAGATGAACAAGGTGACAAAATTAAGTTTTATTAACCTCAGTTCAAATTTCCTACAAACGCGATTTAATTCTGTTAATTAATTAATTTAATTAATTTAATTTAATTGTCTATCATACCGTGGTGCTGTGACTACATTTTTATCTTAATTTCATGCAATGGCGCAAGCTTATCAGCCACAATTTGCAGCTCTCGATAACATAAGAACGCCGATCCATCAACATCATCATGCTTAAAATCATTAATTAGTAAATTTTTTATCATAGAAATAAAAATATCTGTATCAAGACGATTCCAGGATCGGATCTGTTTTTTTAATAATTTTATGGGTCACAATTCGAATAGACAGCGAAACTGACACAAGACTGTGATCAAAGTATATCCCGATTGGATACACACAACAATTAGAGAAACACATTTCCTGAGGTAGCACAATTAAATTAAGAGTGCCTCTTTTTTAATATTGTGCAATGAAAATGTATCAAACAAATGACACAACGACAGTGAATAAGGTTCATCCATTCTTTCGACATGAATATTAAAATCGCCAAGAAGAACCAACTCATCACACAACAAAGACAACTAGTCGGACGTCCATACAACGAACTTGGTAGTTCCAGGATATATAGCTATGTAGAAATTTCGTTATTTACAATTTGTTTGGTAAAAAAATCTATATTGCTTAAAAGGCGTTCATAAGCTTATACTACATTTATGAAAAAAACAAACTCCTAATCAATTATCAATCTCCTAATTTAACAAAAAGTTATGCATATTAGAGTTGCAAAAAAATATGAAAAATAACGCAATCTCTGATTCCATTGAAATTAATTGAGGTAAAGAACAAAAATTTCTAGAACAAGAAACAATGAATGAATATGGTTCTAAGGTATTGAATTGGAGAAGCACGAAAACACCGCTCATATCAATCCGTAGAATGTTTGCTGGTCGGATATTTCTTTCAACTTTTATCAATTGCGTTCATTATAGAGAAATTATTATTTATTTCTATATGTAGAACAGTTTTATATGTAAAATTTCAACGAACGTAAAAAAAATCTTATAATCAAAATAAAATGATATTTTAATATAATAGTAATATTAACATAATAATAATGCAATAATAATAATAATTATTATTATTATTATCATCATCAAAAGGTATTATAAATTAAAAACACGATGATAACTTATAAGTTGATGGTAATAACAATAACAAAGGATTATATTTGCATGATGGTGATGTTTCTGCAATACAACACAATATTGGACAATATTGAAAGCATTATAATAATGTTAACGAACGGAAAATATGAAATTGTAATGAGATGATAGAAGTATAGAAACAAACGCCAACCTTTATGATGGAAACTTTTCAGAACGCCTGAGATGCAAATACTTCAACGTACGGGACCGCTGACAAATGTTGTGCTTACGTGTTGCATGTATTCACGAAGACAGCTACAAATCTTCTTTAATTCATCAAATTAATTAATAAGATATATCATGAAACGAAACGAAGCGAAACGATACAGAGTTTTGTGGAGAGTGTGCCAGGCGTCTCAACAAAACGGTGCAGATAGAAAGGTACGAGTTGGTGAGCGCTTTATAAGCGTTTCACTTCTCGTGTAGACTGGTTCTCCCTCTTTTATATGAGCCGTGTAACCTCGTCCGTGCAACCTCGTGACGATCGACGAGCTCAATCACTGGCTGGTCGGTTTTGTGATTGTTGGTGTGTGCGCGCGTGTGTGGTTGTGAATGTGTGTGCTTCGTTGTTTGTATGTGTGGTTGTGAATGTGTGTGCTTCGTTGTTTGTATGTGTGGTTGTGAATGTCAATGTCAGTATATCTGTTTCCGTATATTTTTGAGCATACAAACATATGTACGGGATTTCCAGCTACTTGGTGTTTATAATGTGTTGTATACGCTTCGTATGCATGTTATATGCGCAGAAAGGCTATGTACGTGTGTGTGTGTGTGTGTGTGTGTGTGTGTGTGTGTGTGTGTGTGTGTGTGTGTGTGTGTGTGTGTGTGTGTATGTGTGTGTGTTTGTATGTGTGTTTGTATGTGTGTGGAGGTGCATGTTGACATTTGTCTGCGTGTGCCGCGTGTTTGCAAGTGATAACCCCTCTCCGTCTTTCTCTCTCTCTCTCTCTCTCTCTCTCTCATTCTCTTTAATTCTCTTTATCTATATGCAAGCTCTTCTTCCCAGTTTTTGTTCCGTCGGGTGAATTTATTTTTGGAACCACATGAATTGATAGGAACGAAACGAAAATAAATGTAAATACTCTATTGACATGGAAAAATAATGATGGCTAGCTAATTATTTGTGAAGAAAGTCCGTGTGAGCATCTAATATCCGCTTCTTGATTGCCTGCTGGCCGCCACTGAACCGGCACAACGGTACAAGTCTGCACGAACTTCATGTCCAGTCCCTCTGTTCAAAACTCTTTATAATATTCAAAATGTTCTTGAGACTTGAAACATTTTAAAAATTTAAAAAACATGCCATCATTGAAGAAGTGGTCGGTGGGTGCTCTGAAGGCCAACTGAGCTGATGAACGGATTAAGATCTTCAATCGTTTTCATTATATTACTATTTGTTGTCATTTAGAAACATAAAAATTTAAAAAAAATTGATAATTATGAATGTGAACAATGGGTCATATTTGCATGCGTCACGACAACAAAGGTGTAGTCATCTAGGCAAACGCATGCATGTAATCACTCGCTTTTGTTATCTTTACTTATGCATACACAGCGCTGAATAAGGTTGACACACACACGCACACACACACGCACACACACAGATACACATACGCGCAAACACACAGATACACAACACACACATACACACAGTGGCATGGCAAGACCTTCACGTAAAATACTCCAAAAGCGCTAACAATTGAGAGGCATTAGGAATGTTGAGGCACACTTCAGCCGACAATATTCAGTTATTTCATGCACGTACATTCATGCTCCCCTCATTTAGAAATCCAAACAGACTCTCCGATTTTCTTCTTTTACTTTTTTAAGCTTTTTATTTTTTTCACCACAGAACTTCGATAAACTTTGCCTATATTTATATTTTTTGTATAAGATTTCGTACGAGATGATGCTTGAATGACAGTCTCTTGTTGGCTTCAAGCCTCCGAAGTAGGCATTACTGAAATAAATTATTTTCAAACACTCAATTGCACGTGCAATCGATAATAATAATTAAAGAGAAAATTTCCATTATTTGGTTCAATGTGAAATTTCGACCTCAATGAACAAACTTTTTCAAATTATTTTTTTGACTGTTAACCAAAAAACTTGATACCCAGTCACCTGAATTAGCCCACATCTCCACAAGTAAATTATCATCATCGTCACCTTTTTTATGCCTGCACCAATAAAAAATTATTTGTAAAGTTTCAAATGCTATTTTCAATATGAAAAATAATAGGGATGAAGTTTTATTTTTTTTTTAATTTCAAGCTAGCAAAGCAAAATTATTGTAAAATAAATAAAAGCTTAAAAGGGAGAAAATTTAATTATCGGATATAAAAAATTGCATTGTATGAATTTGTGAATGATGTCATTTGCAGATAATCAGGATCATTTTTCGAAATGGTCTCATAGGAATGTTGGACCGTTGAATTGAAGGATGGCGGATGGTCTAGAGAGGTTCGAAAGAAAAAAAACTTTTGTGGAGTCATTCAGTGGCTGGAAATTAACAGATAAAATTAATTTGCTACTGGATGATCGGAGATGAAGAAATACTAGACAAGAAGCAGAGAAACATGCATGATACGAATGAGTAAGAAGCATCTGATGGAAGTGCTGGAAAGTGATGGTATAATGTAATTGACTGTTGAATGTCTCTTATTAAATTAAATCAAAAAAAAGAATGAAAGTCAATGTTCACAGTATATTAAATAAGAATAATAAAAAAAAGATCGAGTAACATTTTTTACTTCAACGTTAACACACCGATGTAAGGACCATTTATAAAAACAGCTGAACACGAACAGTCAACGAAGTGGTCTGCTTCCTATTTCTTCCCTATTAAAACGTTTCAATTTCTGAATTGAACCTTTATGCAATGCACAAGTTTAAAATACAACAAAAAAATTGAACCGCATTTAGAATGGTGAATGAAGATGAGAGAGTGGTGGAGCATTGTGGCTTGCCTGGGACAATGTCCAAGAAGTCAAAGATGAATTTCAAATTTGAACTGTTTTTGGTAAGATATGCGAGGACCAAATCGAGTGTGTTCGTTTATTGTGGAAAAAATTTATTTGAAAAAAAAAAATTTGCTCGATTTGGATGATTTGCACAAAGAGCAATTAAATAACTTTGAAATTAATTGTGTTGAATTATTCTATCTATAAATTTAAAAATAAAAAAAAGTTCATAAAAAGTCTCAAATGATTGAAATATATTGAGGAGAATGGTTTGTTGTGGATCGTCATAGTGCACTCCAAAAGGAGCAACATCATTCTCACCAAAATAATGCTAGTAAAGTTAACTGATGTAGATGCAACTTTTGATATTAATAATCAATTGAATATACTAATTGTTTCCATCCTATTTTTCAATAACATTTTCACTGCAGATTCGTAGTTTGCATCCAAATGAATTGTGCATCGACTTGCTTGAGAGATGATGTTTCAATGCAACTTTACAGCTGATGTTTATATTCACTTTTTAAAAATCCATCGACAATAAGTTTCAAATCTTTGTAGAAGCAATTAAAAATATTCTCTCTCCAATGTGTTTGATGAATGGCTTCAACATTCTTCTAAATAATAGTTAGCGACTTACGA